AGCTGATTTTATAGTACAAGAGTTTTCTAACCACACTTTGATGGGTGAACACAGAAGAAGATATATTCATCAACTCTTAAAGCTGCTGTTTGCTGTCAGTAGATGTTCTGTAGTATTTGCCATCTGGATGGAGCTGAAACTTGGAGATTACAAACTGTCATTATTTGGTACCTGCCCAGAATAGATGGAATTAAATAGTATGATAAAACTAAACAAGTTCCAATGAATCAAGAGCTGAGGAAAAGAAGCTGATGTTGGACACACTTTCAGAAAGCTGGATAATATTATAACTAGAATGAATGTCCTCATATTAGAACCCACATTGTTAAAGGAATGAAAGCAGTTTTAAAAAATGGGGAAAATTAGAGAATAATGTGAACAGTTCATGAGGGCCTAGGTTGAGATGCCTGGAAAAGATACCTTAGGATGAGTTGATTGAGGGCTTGTGCTCTACTTGGAAATGGGAAAACATGAAATGCCATAATATTTATAGAACTGTGTGTGTGGAATCGTTCTTCGGCAGAATTTTATTTCAAAATTCAGTTGGGGCTTTGTGTCTCTATATCATGGCAATTTATCTTAGCGGCCCGCAGGCCAACCTGCGGATCATTGTCAACTGTATTGTGTTAAGGATCTTTCTGTGCAGTTCGATCCTCTGGCCCATTAGATCCCCATTGTCAAAATTTTGGCCCCTGGGTAAACTTTGTTGAATAGCCCTGCTCTGTGTGTTGCTGATTACATATCCTTGATCTTGCTGCAGCAGCTGCTGCTGTTGATTATGAAACCTCCCTTGTAGGTTCCTGCGCCCCCCTCCCCCCCATGTGAGAGAAAACAAGAATAGACCTACTGCCCCATAACAAGCATGCCATGAAAGGCAACTAAGAAAGAGTTTTTTGAAATTGGATGTGTTTTGGTTGAAAGGTGCGGATATCACAGCCCAGATGTAAACCTCAGCACAACATGCCTGTTGCCTTTTTAAAGGCAAACACAGGAGACGGTTATGAAACCTTTAAAGACTTAGTTTAGGCACAGGGCACTGGCATTCAGATCTCTTACCCCCAAAAGTGGCTTGCTTCCTAATGATATGATGTGGTGTTCCAGCCTAGTACCATCCCCTTGGTGACCCCTTGTTCACCTAGTGCACCCTGTATCAGAAACAAGTTAGCTGTGCAAGACCAGTCCTGGGGCTTCATCTGTGGGATGTAACTAGATAATGATTTACTACAGCACATATTCTCTGTGGGCGTGGGGCCCAATTAGTTTGGGGAAAAAACAAGAATAGATCTATTGCTTCTTAACAAGCATGTCCTAAAATGTGCATAATCCATTTAGATAGACTTTTGTGCAGGGACTATTAGCAAATGTAAATGAATTTATGTAACTGTCATGCACACTTGTTTTTTAAGTATTGTTGAAATGTTATTGAAGTTCATTACATGGTTTGTCATTTTTTTTTTTAAACTAGTTTCTCTTGTCATTCATAGTATGTTGATTTTATACTGTTACAGTTCGTTGGAATTAATTAAAAGTAATAGCATAACTAGGCCGCCCATTATTTTCTAGATCATTAGAAAGTAAATTAACTTATACAATGCATTATAAAGAGCACACCGAAGATTCTTGCATCTTTCCTCATGATTAGACGTCAGAGAAAAATATGCTCTAAAAATTAGCTGACAGTTTTGAATACTAAAAATTCTGACTGATTTGCTTGCAATGAAGCATCAGTAAATTAATTGCCATGTATTTTTCTTGTTATTGTTCTGTTCTGACCTTATAGGGCTCACAGTCTATTCCTTAATTACCTTCTATCCAGTGCGATCAGTTTGTTATTGTGGATTGAATTGAGTCCAACTGCTTTAGCCTCTCTCATCAACCTTCGTTTTAGGGTTTCTTTTGGGCGTCCCCACCTCCTTAATCCCTTTATTTCCTGTTTAAGTGCCTGTTGGGTGATTCTGTGCTCATTTCTTCTCAGGATGTGTCCAGTATATCGCCATCTTCTCTGTCTTGTAACTGTTGATCCTAGCGGTTGCCAGGGAGTTTCTCCTATTTCTTCACTCCTCTTGAATTCATCCTATCCTGAGGCATTTGTGTGCTATGTATATTATGAGGGATTTCCAGTTTCCTCCTGCAGCCGTACGAATATAAAGAAAGAACATATAAATGCACTTACATTAAATTTCCTTTTCATGCCAAAGGCTCATTGGGCAGATGGTGTCATATTTGAATTTTTATTGGCACATAATGGGTGGTTTAAGCTTGCGAGTCTGACTCGTAATTCCAACGTACCTCTATCGAAACCCACTGCTGGCTGTGTGGATTTTTATCATCGTATGGTGCTTCGCACCAGCCTAAAATGGGTACCAGGATGGCTGTCCTGGGAAAGTAAAGACGTCCGGCGTAATGCTGACCACATTACCCACCTAGTGCCAGCGGTCTGTAAAAAATTTGGGCGCTCTTCCCATATGCCCGATACGCCCAAAGTTGTGAAAAGGGATCTTTACCTTTACTTACATAATGGGTGGTGTATTTAAAGTGATGTAACTGAAATCATGCCATATTTGATTCTGCCTGAACATTTCCTGTGACCTGTGATGTAATATTCAGGAGCTTTGTGCATCCTTGTACTGTTCTGTTTTTGCTTTCCTGTTCCACGCATTTGTTTACTCGTCTTTGTGGCTAAGTAGTTGAGCCATTTTTCTCGTGCTATAAAGGTTCAGGGCTCATTTCAGAATCTGCTTCATTTGATCAAAAAGTACAGTTTACTGATATCCCTGGGGATCGTCACTTTAGCTACCGAATGCAGGCAATGCTTGACGCTCTTGGCAGGCTGCTAGCTATTCAGCTTAGTGATCCATATGGTGTCAAGCCCTTTGCAGTGAAGTTGATCTCTTCGACTTTACACCTTTTCCTGTACTCATCTGTTCATGGGATTATGTGTAATGCTTTTTATATTGTTTCCAATTTTCTAGTTTGCTGATAGTCAGAGCTCTCTAATAGTCAGATTGATATTTTAAACTTTATTAGCAGTGGTATTTACATACATTTTCTCACTTAATTTCTACTTTAATTAACCATAACATTTATTAGCTCCTAAATTTTGTCTAATGTTTTGTCTTTTAAAAGTAGAATAAGGTTAACGGTGACCTCTATGAATAAAAGTTTTTAAAAAAAAAACCCGCCTGTGTGTGGTCGCCATAATAGATATTAATGTTTACTTAGGTGAATCTGATTTTGTATGTTTAATATGATTGTTGAAACAAAAGGCAGAATCTAAGATGCGCTTGTTCTCTGAATTATTCTCCATTTCAAATGAAATTCTGTTTCCATTTGTGATTCTGTGGTCTTAATAGTTGCATGCTTTCATTTTCTTCTGTGTTCACCCTTACAAAGGGCAGTTTTAGTGTTATGTTGTGATTTACAGCTAAGCTATGATATGTGCCTTTTGGGTAAACACATCCAATTTCAGCAGACTCCTTTTATGACATGCTTCTCGGAAGAAGGACAGTGGATCTACCCCACCCCAACTCCCCCCTTTTAAAAAAAAAATGGAGCCTGGAACCCACACATGCAACTTGTTTGCTTAGATAAAAGTGATGTATTATTAATAATAAAAGTAAAGTAAAGGACCGTTTTCCACGCCTTTAAGTGTATAAGGCTCTAGACCTGTATTTTATATACTTGGCACAAAATGGGTGATGTGGTCAGCATCACGCCGGCCGCCTCTACTTCCTGGGACTGCATGCGGTACCCACTCAAGGCTGGGTCGACCTGGGAGCCAAGGTCATTTTTAAAAAAAGTCCCATTCTGCTAGGGGGCGAACCCACGACCTTCCGATCCGTGGTGAGCGTCTAGCCGCTCAGCGGCGGCGACTTCCGATGTATTATTATTCATAGAAAATGTTTATGGCTTTGCAGCCATGTTCTCATGTATATTTTGATTGCATTCAGATTTCTCTTTGAACCCTGGTCTGACTGCCATTTAGACCTGTAGGCCTATTGAACACTGCACAGGAACACACCAGTGAAATTTATCACTACTTTTCAAGAACAGGTCGCTGCAGTCATAGCGATATATATCATCATTTCCGGGACCATGTCACAACCCGATGTGACTAGATTTAGTCTTCTCAGGACGACAGGGTTAGCAGGTCATGGGTTATTCCTGGGTTGCGATATCTGCACTTTTTTGATCCAGCACATCTAATTTCATCAAACTCCTGGTTATCATCTCTTACGACATCCCTGTTAGTGGGCTAGTGGGTCTCTTCACCCCTCCCCTTTCTACCACTCCCTTGGGACCCCAGAACCCACTTGGGGAGCTCCCTCACTGGTAATGGTTGCTGTTTTGTTTGTCTCATCTGCTGTGAAGTTCACAGAGCACTGGAGGAAATAATACTTTTTTCTTAGACACAGACCCTTTGTTTATAGTTATAGCGTAATTCCATAAAGGAAAAACTGATGAATCAGTATTTAAAATCTTCTATTGTTTGTACATGACGCTATCCTCTAATAGCTTGTAAAACTGAAGATTACGGGATAGAGAAGAATTACCACTTTAGGCAGGTGATTGGGATTACTGGTTTAAACTATTAAACAGTACTGTGTATACTTTTGTTTGGTCTGTTGTACTTTTCTGCATGCAGCATTCAGTTTTATCATGAGCTCTCCTCGGCAAACATTATTTACACACACAAACACACACGCACGCTCACACACACCCACCCCCATTATTTCATTTGTAATTTGTATTTCACTTCTGGAAATTTTGCTTTACCAGGATTTAAATTATGTTTTAGTGAGAATATTAAGCTTTTTAAGTGATTTACACCCAAAATCCTTCTCAAAGTCTCATCTCTCCTTCTGTCCTCTGCCTCAGTCTCCCTTGTCTTGTACTGTACTTTTAATGTATAGAAAATCTGAACTTGTTTCTTTCTATCTTTAAATTGTTTCTCTGTATTTGATGTACATTTGTTTCTTGTCATTCAACAACAGCTTACAATGGGAGCATTTCTAGACAAGCCAAAGACAGAGAAGCACAATGAAGGTGGTGTGGGAAATAAATTGCGCTATGGTCTCAGCAGCATGCAGGGATGGAGGGTGGAAATGGAGGATGCACACACTGCAGTGGTCAGCATCCCCTATTTAAAAGACTGGTCATTTTTTGCCGTCTTTGATGGTCACGCAGGGGCCAGAGTTTCGGCCATTTGTGCAGAAGAACTGCTGGAACACATAACTCAGAATGAAGCTTTTCGTGGCAAGCCAGATGTCACAGATGGAACAGAAATCCAGCCTTCAATTGAAGATGTGTTTGCTGGGATTAAGAGAGGCTTTCTGAATTTGGATGAAAAAATGCGTGCCTTGCCAGAGGTGGTCAGCGGGGAAGACAAGAGTGGTTCAACGGCAGTCTGCAGCATCGTCTCTCCAAAACATATCTTCTTTGCTAACTGTGGAGACTCGCGTGCAGTTCTGTGTCGCAATGGTAGATGCGCATTTGCAACAACAGACCACAAACCTGTTAATCCCATAGAAAAAGAACGCATTCAGAATGCTGGCGGCAGCGTCATGATCCAGCGAGTCAACGGCTCGTTGGCAGTGTCTCGCGCGCTGGGAGACTTTGAATACAAGAATGTGGAAGGTAAAGGTCCATGTGAACAGTTGGTCTCTCCCGAACCAGAAGTATTTGTTGAGGAGCGCAACCCAGATGATCAGTTCCTGGTTCTGGCTTGTGATGGCATTTGGGATGTTATGTCCAATGATGAACTCTGTGCATTCATAGAGCATAGGATGAAAATAACCAGCAGCCTAGAGGAAGTCTGTAACCAAGTGGTGGACACCTGCTTACTCAAGGTAAATCATTCAGATAGAAAAATAAACTATGAAGTTACGCTTTTCATGCCACCTGTATGTTTTATAGATAAGTAAGTACTTAATATGTGATGTGGTTAATATCCTGTTGGCCACATTTACTTCCCATGAAAATGTGTGGTACCCATTTAGGCTGGGTTTGATCTTGGAGCCCAAGGTTAAATTTCAGAAATCTGCCATGGTAAGCAAGCATCTAGCCATTGCATTACATGACTCCCCCATTCTCATAGTGATTGTGCTTTATTTTTCATAGTTCTTATTGTTATCAAATATGTTTGGTGGTATTATCATGTGGCTCATATGCCAATGTTCTCTTTGCTCACTAGTTCTTTTCAGCATTACATATCTTAATTAACTTTGATATTCTTGCCTGCCCATATGATGAGTTCTTTGATATCTTTTATTTCCATTTTTCACACTGTGAGTTTCATGGACCTTGGTTGTTTTGAGCAAGACCAGAAAGTGACAATTTGTGTCTATTTATCAGTTGTTTGATTGCTTCAGTATGATTCAAAACTTATTTTTATTACTTCTGTCCAGCTTACTCTTATCATCTGGTGATACATCTCATTAACTTTTCAGCCATTTCATTCCTCTTTTGCTAGAGTCCATGTTTCCATATAGTCACTGTAAAGTCTACAGGCCAAACATGTGCTAGCATATCTTTTTCTGCAGTTAGATGTTTTTTGATGTCAGAAATGTTTATTTCTTCCTAATATTAGATCTGATTTCAGCTTTACAGATAATATTGTCTTTAAAATTGTGTACAATACAGGTCTTTCTTTTTATGCTGATATGGATGCTTTAGGTTTATTTGGCAATGATCTGTTTTGTGTTTCCAAATCTATTTCTTGGCAGATGTTGAGAATATAATTAATACAGAATTATTACCTACAGCTGCAAGAGGACATTTCTTTGAGGTATTCATTTCACCAGGGATGTTTACCTCTTCAACTATTAGTTGTAATGTTAATTGTACAATTACTGTTTGCGTCCTTCTTTGACTATTCTTATTATAGGTTTTCTTGAGTATTATTTAACCTTTTAAGCACTGAAAGGGCATCTTAAATTGTTTTGTAGTCTGCATGTTAGTGATGGAAAACAAGGACTCCATTGGGACAGGTTTGGTGTTCACACTGACAAGAGACTCTTCTTTACAATCACATGGGACATCCCGGACAGACCTCAGTCTGGTTAAGGAAAAAACTATTTGTAATGGTCTTTAAAAACACGATGCTGTGTAAGAACTGATTCCGGCAATTCTGACTGGTTCCCGGTGGAAACAGGAGTGAAGCAAGGCTGTGTCCTATCGTCGATGCTTTTTGGTATAGCAATCGACTGGGTCATGCGCAAGTGCATAAATAACGCAAATTTAGGCATTACATGGGTTGACAAAATTCTGGAAGACCTAGACTTCGCCGACGACATAGCACTCCTGAGTTCAGAACACACAGACGCCCAAGAAAAAATCAATCGACTCCAGAATTTCTCAGAACAAATTGGACTCCAAATTAACACCGCAAAAACAAAAATTCTAGACCTTACCAACAGTTCAGTTGATATCACGCTGAACAACAACAGCCTTGAAAAAGTCAACAGTTTCACTTATCTAGGGAGCAAGATGTCATCTACAGGAGATACCGCACCAGAAATATCATTTAGAATAGCACTGGCATCTAGTGCCTTCAATAAACTGTCTAACATCTGGAAATCAAAGACACTTAGCAAACACACAAAACTCAAGATCTTCAATTATTGTGTGATTCCAGTTCTAACCTATGGATGCGAGAGCTGGAAATCAACGAAAACTCTAGACACAAAATTAGACAGTTTTGAAAATAAATGCCTTAGACGAATACTAAATTTCAAATGGTCAGATTTCCGAACCAATACACAAATAAGGCAAGAATCCAGGCAAGAGTTTGTTTTTAATTTTATACGAAAACGCCGCTGGAACTATGTCGGCCACGCCCTTAGAATGGATAAATCAAGACTTCCTTACCAAGCCCTCATTTGGACACCACAGGGGAAAAGATCTCGTGGAAGACTAAGGGAAACCCTACGTAGAAATATCATCAGGGAAGGCTCGCTCATGGGCCACTCAAACATCCAAGACCTACAACGGATTGCAACGGACCGCCGTGCATGGAGAGTCGCGACCTCTGCCTTATGTGCCGCACTCGACACAAGAGGAAAGACTAACTAACTAATGGTCTTTAGCGAAATGGAACCTGCCTACTAATAATTCCCAGTGGTAACTAGAAAACCAGCACCCAAATCTTGCACTTAACACTTGGAGAACTGGAATATGCTGAGAATATGTTGCTTAGCTCCTAGGATGGTGCAAAATTATCACTCATGTCTTGCATTCAACACTTTTGAAGCTGGAACATGGTTGCAGTATGTTGCTAAACTACTGGGATGGCGCTTTTTATCACCCATGTCTCGCATCCAACACTTTGGGTGTTTAAGCATAGTTGGAACATGTTGCTTAGCTACTGGGATGGTGTATAGTGATGACATGTCTTGCGTTCAACACTTGGAGAGCTGACACATGCTGGAAACATGTTGCTTAGCTACTGGGATGGTGTATAGTGATGACATGTCTTGCGTTCAACACTTGGAGAGCTGACACATGCTGGAAACATGTTGCTTAGCTACTGGGATGGTACACAGTGATGACTGAGAGTGCTCAGAATGTGTTGTTTAGGTGCTTGTAATTTACATGATTCAAGCTGTAGAAAACTGTTGACTTGGGATGTGTTGATATAAATTATGTCTACTTTTGATAAACGTGTAAAAATTGAGTTTAAACAAATAAGTGAAGTTTTCCCCCCTGCCAATTTAGTTTTATGTACAAAATGATAAATTGGTGTATTTGAAAAGTTGCAATTATTTTAGTGGTGCTAAATTTAGTTTTGTGTTACCAGGGCCTATGAAAAACCAAAGAATAGTAACAACTACCGTACATGTTGTAAGAGGCTACTAGTACGGTTGATGTGAGACAGCCTACCTCATGTTGTGAACTGCAAAATTAATGAACGAATCTGCAGAGGGCCTAGGTTGAGTTGATGGAATGAGTTGAACAAAAACTATCATTGTGTAATTATTGCTGATGTCTGCCAAGATGTTTTTTCTATTTGGAGTACTAACCTTTGGTACCAAACAAAAAAGTCTTTAAAAATGACATTTTTCAAAATTTCTTCAAGGAGAAACAATTCTGAAACTTTGCCCCAGTAGTTCTCAACATTTCTAACATGGCGACCCTTTAAAACACTTTTCATATTGTGGCAACCCTTAAATACAGTTCCTCATGTTGTGGTGACCCCCCAACCATGCAGTTTTTTTCGTAGCTACTTTATAACTTTTTTGAATATTTGTTTTGCAATGGTCTTTGGTGACCCATGTTAAAAGGTCGTTCAACCCCCCAAAAAAGGGTCGCGACCCATAGGTTGAGAACTGCTGTTCTACCCCAAGAAACTAAAAGGAAAATAAGTAGAGGAGGTTTGAAGTCTTTCTCAGTTTAACCAAAAATCCAGGGGGTTGAAACATATGACCACTAAGCAGACAGGCAGTCAATTTTGTCACCTCAAATGTTATTAATATAATCATGCCCACTAAGTCTGAACATTATGCAGTTGCAGTCAGCACCACAACTTACATATGTGAATTGGTCACTACCTAGTGATATCATGTCATGGTAATCCTGTACAAGTTGGAAAACCAGCTTTCTCGGACCAACAGGGTTGGAGGTTGCTTGACCAGGCTGTAACCACACAGTGTGTTAGAAGGACTTTTTTTTTAACTACATGGACAGAATCTCTTGCCTTCAAGAGGAACAGAATGTATGTCTTTTGCTGTGTGAAACAGAAACCTAACTACTTAGCAATTCTCGTAGGCAGGAAAGCTATTTAGAAAAATGAAAGAATGGGGCTGGATGAAGTAAGATAAACAAAAGTAATTCGAACATTAAATGAGACCTCACTCAATTCCAAATCGTTCGAGTTCCAAGTCAGTTTTTCCCATTGAAAATACTAGAAAGTAAATTAATCTGTTGCTGGATCCAGCAGACTCAAATTTTAAAAGGAATTTTCCTAAATATGGTACAGTGTATTTATAGTAAGAAAGAAAAATTCAACTGAAAATGTTGTTTGCATTCCAAGTTTTTTTTAAAAGTTGTTTTTAGGTGTTAGATTCGGTGATGTTACTGTAAATATCATTTGAGAAATGTTGCTTGACTTCCATATGTAAAAACAATCCACGTCGTCAAGTATTTCTTTGCATTTGTCTCCAATTCAGGGCAGCAGAGATAACATGAGTATTGTGTTAATAGCTTTTGAAGGTGCACCTACAGTAACGGAAGAAGCTGTGAAACGGGAGAGAGAGCTTGATGAGAAGATTGAGGCAAAGGTCAAAGGTGAGACACAGTTTGGTGTGCAGCTCTGTAATGAAGTTGTGTGTGTGTGCTGTAGTGTTGATTTCCCCCCGTTTACTGGGTCTGTTGTAGGCACTCATCTACCATCTTTAGTGTCGGCTTCCAGCTCCACATTGAAGACAGAATTTGCTTTGGACTCTGAGGTAAATTCAGTCTCATTGATTGGGGGGGGGGGGGGGGGGGGGGGGGGCGCTAACATTGTAATCACAAGATTACTCATTGACATGCAATAACAGCATTTGACCTGCTCTTGTTCGGGAGACCAAGTTTCCAGTTAGGGATGTAGAATTTTTTTCTGTTGGGAGTAAAAAATAAAAATCCAACCCTGCACAGTTCTTAGTGACTGCACTAGCCAATATATTGTAAGTCCTCAGGCTCACAATCTCTTTACCCCCCCCCCCCCCCCCCCCCCCCCCCCCCCCCCCACACATACACACACACCCAGCCTGTGAGTTGTAAAAAAAAAAAACCACCCCCAGGCCGTATGTTGTAAATCACCCCCCCAAAGGTAAATATAGGCATTTAAGACAGTTTCACCCATCCTCCCCTCTTCCCCAGAAGACTTTTGATAGCATTAGAATGGAAATTTATGCTTTTATAATTCAGTTAATATTTTTTATTTATAGTCGACTTTAAAGAGCTTTTTTGTCAAGAGCTTCCTGAACATTTTGCAGACTTACTATTGCCCATTGATGCTTACATATTGGTTTGTACACATATTTCTTTGTTGTTTCCAGAAATTCTGGAGCGGGAACCTCGGGAACATCAGGACATTGGATATGTGTTACATTCTGTAGCAGATGAGTTACATGACCAGTTTCCCCCTGGAGGGGGCTTTCAGTGCAAGTGAGTCTATGTAGCCTGTCCACACGTCTGTGAGATTTTGTGACCTGTTGTTGTCATTTTGTAAGTTTAATTTGAATGGAAAAGTGTTACAGATTTGAACTAAATTGCATATGCAGGTACCATATGTCTGAAGCGGTTGGAAGTGTCTGTCAGAAAGCTTTTCTGTAAACAGGCGCAACGAATTTACCTCTCATCATCGTTGTAAAGCAGGCCCTTTGCAGATGGTCATTTTCATCACAGTCTGCCTGAAAGTAACTTGTTCTCTCACTAGCTCTCCCACCTCATGTACTTTCATTTTCAAGGAGTCACTTACATCCTGTGCATGTTGGTCGGCCATTACCCCTCCTTCCTGGTACCATGTCTTCTGCTTTTTTTTTTTTTTTTAATGGAGCTTAGCCAGTCTTTCTTGATGTTAAATTTACGTCCACAAAAAATAATCGTAATAATTGACAAATGGAGGAGAGGAATAATTGCATATTGAAAACCTTGGATACTGTACCCAGTTATTTATCAGTTCATGGTTCTTAAATCTCTTGGAACAGTTTCTGACAAAGACCGAAGCCACTTCTGGCTTTCCTGAAAATATTGATTTGGATGGTGTACAATCCTCAAACATGGTGCATCAGCCTGCCAGGCAGCAGAGGTTGCACTGGGAGAGAAACAGGCAGACCAGAAAGATCCGTGTGACAAATCCCACCTCAGCTGTCGCTTCCATCTGTTGTCCACACTGCTCAAGAACCTGTTAACTCATTCTGGCCCACCAAAGACATCTTCAGTACCACCCAGCACACAGTTTGTTAACTCATTTAGTACAACCCACGACCTAATTTGTTAACTTATTTGGTGCCACCAACACATCATTGATTAACTCATTCAGTACCACCCAAACATCATTTGCTAACTCGTTCAGTACCACCCAACACATCATTTGTTCACTCATTCATACCATCCAACACGTCATTTTTTAACTCATTCATTGCCACACATCTTTTTTTTTAAACTCAATACCACACAACACATCATTTGTTAGCTCATTCATTGCAACCACCATATCTTGCATTAACTAATTCAGTACCAGCCAGCACATCACTGGTCAACTCAGTCAGTACCATGCAACATATCATTTTTGTTTCTGGGTATTATCTTGATTGATGGTATATTTTTATGACATAAATAAAGTGTGAAAGCAGTTTTATACAGATTTTCATGAAATGCTAACATAATGATAACTTATATTATTCAGTGTCCTAGGCATTTGTTCATAATGAACCTGTCATTTCAGAAGTAAAAAACCTTTTGTCTTTGCATTTTTCAGAAAAACATTAATTGAAAGCACATACCATAAACTCAGGCCAAATGAAGAACAAGATGTGAGTGATGGTTGTGTTTGTTTGTAGTCTGTTATTTTCAGTTGCTTTTGTTGTTACTTGTTTGAACAGTGGCACATGCATTCGTTTAGATTATATTCTTGCTTATTTGAACAGCAGCTGTGTCTAAATTTACTTTGAAAATTTTCATTTCTGTTTATGTGTACATAAAAAAAAAAAAATCAAGTTTTGAGTGCACGTCTGTTTTTACAGAACTGGCAGATTGTTTGCTTCTTGAATCTTAGGCAGATGAACTCCAACTTTAAAGGAAACACCCTGGATTAGTTTTCTTTTATGGCATGCCTGTGAGGGGGCAGTGGATCTTTCCCCCCCCACCCCCCCCCCCCCCCCCCCCCCCCCCCAACAACGATAAGGCTACTGTCAGCGAAGCCAGAGCAATAGAATAAATCAAAACAGAACTAATGTCAGCCATTATTAGCCATTTTTTGCTGGTGTAATACAGCCTAGATTACATATGGAGTGCCACTTGGTCTAAAAGCAGGTGGCTAGCAGCACATATCTTGTCCACCTCAAGCTGTAAATACAGGCATCTCTGCAGGTGGAGTGGTTAAGCTTGTTGCCTCACTTTCATGGGTTTCATGGAATGTGTCTTTTGATCATGTTCCCAGATTAATGCAGCCTAAAATGGGTGGTGGGAGGTATTCTGGGGAAATAAGGCAGCTTGCAATAAAGTTGACTGAATCACCCTTTAAGTGCTTATTGATATGTTAAAATGCTGGTCTATCATCATATGCTAGATTGAAATGATTTTTTACTTTTACTGAATTAAATAAAATAAGGTTAGATATTCAAAGTGGAGTGGTCAGCAATATTGTTGCATAATGATGACAGTGTTGAAAAGTTTACTTTTATTTATCATAGTGCAAGTTTATATAATTAGATTACATTATTATATTTTATCAAATTTTTTGTTGGTCCGTGCAGAATTCGGCAAATTTTCGTCTGTCATTATTGAATAATAATAAATAATAATAATAAATAAGTTGCTAGTTGATATTCTTCATTATAGCATTGCCCCGTTGAATGGAAATAGAATGCATGTTGTAATTGTTCTGTATACTTCTATATCTGCTTACTTTGCATTATCTCTTGTTAACTACAGGAAGGTTTGGCTTAGTAAAGTACAGTAAAACTTCAGTCAACTGTCACTCATTTGTCAGTTTCTGTTATCTGTTGATTTTGCGAGGAAAAAAATACACAACACAAAGGTTTCTATTTTAAGTGTCGCCCCTGCCTGGGCTGGCCTTATAGTGTCTAGTCTAACCTAATGAATGGGTGGAATAAACTTTTGCCTCAACTTATTGATGAAACTGACGGAACTGAGACTGTTAGGGTTGATGAAATTGTGCAAGAGTGTAGGACAAAGAACATAGGAGTGTGTAGAGGTAAGAGTGCAGGACAGGACTATTCAACTGGCAGCCCATGGACCAAATCTGGCTCACAGAGGCCTAGCAAGTGGCCTGCTGATCGTTGCAAAAACAGTGAAATGTAGTTATTAAAAATATGTCAATGTGTTATGTATAAATCTTCAAACACCAGTTGTGACGAATGTGTCAGAATGAAATGTTTGTCCAGAATCTGTAAATGTAGAGATACAAGCTAACTCCAGCCAGTGTAGAGACACAAAATACTATAACTGTAATATGTCTCATGCCTGGAAATGGAATTAGTTCAGGGTAAAAAGTCAGTTCAAATAGTTAGCAGAACTCATTTAGTAGGGACCAAAGGTAGTAAGACAGGAAGGAAAGAATCATGTAACGGGTAGGAAAGCAACTGCTCTACAAGACAGTCAATGAAGGATATTTATTGGACAAGAGGACGTTTGAAAATACCAGCACAGTTCTGATTGTTATCGCTTAGGTTACTGAGAAACTCTCAAAAATGGTGGCTACTGGTACACACAAACTAATTTAATTGGGTGCTGCAGAACATCAGTAACACTGGACATCGTAGAACACCTGCTAATGATCTTGTTATCTGATTATAATCAGATTTTCATTTACTGCTAGTTGGAGAGCAAAGTCGGAATGTGAAAATTGGGCATTCAACAATGACTGGACACTGAAATATTTATTTATATCACAGACTGTGCCTAATTCAAAACCAGTGTGCTTGCAATGCAATGAATGTGTGTCGGCAGTAAAGAAATACAGCTTAAAGCAGGATTTTACAAAAAACACGCAGATTTTGGAGTATCGAATTCAGAAGATTTCACTGTTAGGATTGTATAAGAATTGCTCTAACTTCAGACTAGCCTGATTTTATAAAATTAGCTTTAAAAAAAAACTTTTGGTTTCTTCTGCACAAAGTTATGTAGACAGTTGTTAATATGATAATTACAATTGAAGTGACAATGCTAATGTATTTATAATTCCAACGGCAAGTTGGAAAACATATATTTCAATTAAAAGTGAATATTAGTTATCATTACAAAAGATTGTAGTACATTTTTCAAAGTAATGGT